TTTGCGGACCAGTTACGGAAAAACCCATTCCTAAAGAAACACGCTGAAAAGAAAGGTATTCCATCCTCGCCATTAGACTTTTTTGGCTGTATGTTTCATTTTCTCTTTAGGAAAAATACAGCCATGCTACATGCTTTACAAGAAGCAAAGTCTTACCTTGGAATAAAGCCCCCTCTTCTTGGAATTCACATTCGAACTAGCGACCTCCATTGGGGAAACACTAACAAGCATTCTTACCGTTCGCATAATTCGACTTTATTCTTTCTTTGTGCACGTGAACAAAATAAACTGATCCAYGAAAAAGTAAATTCAAGTCTGGATTTAAAATGGTTTTTGGCGGCAGAYGATAAAGAAGTTAAAACCACAGCAAAACATAAATACCCTAAAGAAGTCATCACTCTAGATATAATACCACGTCATCTAGACTTTGTTCGTCAAAATAACGATTTATTTATTCGAGATATTTTGCTAGATATCTTTCTTCTCGCTGAATGTGATTATCTTCTTCTTACGTCTGGAAGCAGTTTTAGTCGTTTGGCAGCTGCCATAGGATTTCATGATAAGTTCAGCGTGACMACTGATGGTGAACATTGTCAAGTAAACCAAACCTCACTAGTCAGGATTATAACTCAATCTTTAAGAAAACATAGGCATTAGTGATTAYAYTTTATTGTAAATCARTTAAATAAGCACTTATAATCGGTAACCACCTTTACCTTCACAAGCAAACATCAAAATTGAACATCGAAAATTGTACATTACGGTGTAATACATTCACATTATAGACAAATAAAGGTACACGGATATCAAGCAMCTATTAGTTCGCACGATATGTATTGCTAATTCTAACTCTGATAGTCTTATTATCCATGCACCAATAGTTCCCAATTGTTATTTGAATTTTTTATCGGTCCATAGTCTTTGCTTCAGTGTCAGTTACTTCGACGCTCTGCTAGGCTAACTTGCCGCGTCTACTGCTTGTCTTCTTTGTGCGCGGAAACAACTCATCAACAGCGAGAAAAACAAAAAYAGAAACTCKACAAGTGTGATGACACTACAGCCAAGAAGCAGTCCCATGTTACCACCGATCTCACCTGAAAAATAATAGAAGTSTTCAGCAAATMAATAAATCAGGCTAATTAGAGATTGCGGTTAAACGTCGAAGCGAGTCGGGTGTAGAAACGAGCATCAGTACACAGAAATCCATCATAGGGATTGTGATACAGACAAGCACACATACCAAATAGTGAAGTCGCTCCRAAACTCATTTTTTCCTCAAGGATTACGTCACGATGGCTGTCAAAGAACACCGAGATAATGATGTGATCTTTCCTGGAAAAAGAACCAAAACAATGCAATTGACACTGATTGGGGAATAAAATGATGAGGTTATTATTGTTGGACATGTGTGGGCTTGGTTACTTTTCAAGATGTCGGTTCTTACTCTGAATAGTGAGGAATTAAGGGAAACATCTGTGMTACGCCAATGGCTGACTTTCTAGGCATGACGCCATAGCTGATAGACGTTCTGTATTTCGTTAAGGTACAAGCTAATGGACAATCGCATTCACCTGGGGTCACGAGTCCTGTATATAATCAATCAAATGATAAAGGTTGATTAGATTGTCAAATAATTCATGATAGTTGTTTCTTTCCCTTACTTGAATAATYAAATGAATTGTCAAGGACACATTGTCTTTGTGATGCAAAGCAAATAGTGTTGTCAATGGATACTGTGGAGAAATAAGCAATATCATTACGTCATACTATAAAGGCCCTATCCCATGAACCTTTGCAATCGTTTCTTTACTTTATAATTATYCCTTGTTAAAAAGTGCTCTCTGATTGGTTCAAAATCAAAAACCGGGGAATTTCCGTATGTGAGAAGAGCACGGAGAGGTTTTTGGATGCACATGGTCCCTAAAGCCGTGAAACAACTTGCGAACATCCGCGAAACAACTTGCATTAATTGAAGAGTAATATATAAATCATAATACYCTACGTCAAATGCGGAATCTCAATATTTGATGCAAATTGCTACAATCTTTTGTCTCTTCTCATGATTCCATACAAGGGAATCGATTCCATACAAGGGAATCCGTCACGAAGTTATCATCGTCAAAATATTTTCCATCATCTAACTATCTTACGTGCTGAAGACAGTCTGCAGCCACATTTCKTCTCGATATACATGTCACGACATTCTTCAAAACATTGACTTTGAGTGTATATTTTATGACCGCGGAGAGACTTTCTTTCGCATTTCCCGCCTTCACCTTTTTCTAAATGCTGCAACTACGATACAAACAGATGATTAATAAAATTGACCTGTTCATGAGTTAGTAAATACTGCAATACCTTGACTTGGTTGATAGCAATAGATGTAAACCTGCCTGGAGGAACACGGATTTCATTGTCTCCCATACCTGCTCCTTTCTCATGGATATACAAGTTAAAACCTTCAGCAAACCTTGGATAAAAATAACGGTCGATGCGATTTTGAAGCACAAAGAATATTCCTCCTGTACTTCCTGGACCAGTACTAACRAAGTTCATCTCATCATCGTTRAAAGTGTGACAGAGTCTATGTTCTTTGTAAGTCTTTTTGTAGTATTTGATATTCGTGCACGTTATTCTCTCATAATGTCCTACCATACAATATTGRAGAACCTCTTCCCAAGATTCGCTAAACTTATAAATAAACTCCAACATGTCAAAAGTAATATTTGAACTTTTCAAAGCTTGTGTAATGTTTTCCTGGTATTCCTGGGTGCAGTTTACAATGGGCGCACCGTACGCCACAAACCCGCCAATATAAGCACACACCAACGCGTGCCCGCAAGGTCTKCCTCCACGTACGTCAGCGGTTACTGAGCATGCGCTGATGTTTAGTCCATACTGTTTAAAGACGGTATCGTTATCTTGTGCATATATCTTGTACCTATCTGCAAAGTTATCCGGGCAGATTGTAACAGATGGGAAAGGCAAAGGATATTTCATTTCTTCAAAGACATGCATAAGAGTTGGGGATTCTAAGTATCGCTGAAAGCTTTGAACAGAAGAATAAAGTAGCCATGCTGAGGCTGATAGGACYAAAACCAGCCACATCACTCTAAAACCTGCATAATCGCTTTCAAACACGTTCCGTAATCCATGTAGGGTGGAATTCTCGTAGAATTCTTTCCAGATAGCGGATTTTTTTCTTGCAGGCAAACCATTTGAGGTTTGCCTATTCATGATACTTTATCTTGATATAATTTTGGTTTCTATTAMAAATATAAATATATTTATCCTAATCACTGTACCAAAAAATAAGATCAACACAAGGACTTTTCTCGCTTTTCTATTTGATAATATGAATAATTTTCATATGGAATTAATAAGTCTCTCTTCTTGTATTCACAAAAACAGATCACATTACTGATCAGTATTAAAATACAAGCTGAATGAAATATCAATTACAAACTATATGGATAGAGCAAGATTGTTTTGGTTATAGTCGTTGGTACTAGCATGCATTATTTGTGTTTTATTATGCCTCATAGCATGAATAAAATCCTGAACCAAATATTGTGGTCGTGTAATATGTTCAACTAGTTTTACGGAGTAAAATCTTATAGTCTTTAAAAAAAAGAAATAATAACAACCTCGACTTCATATAAGTCATAGTATGTATAAGTCGAGGTTGCCACTGACGGATCTAAGTACTTAAAAAAACGAGCCAGACATAATTGCGAAGATTATACATTTTCTGACTCCTTTCCATCCAAACAACTCTACTTTCGGTCTTTACGTCGAACAAGAAAACCGTTTCTAAAAGCGCACAAAGTACTCAATCTGAAAGTGACGCATTTTAATAAAATAATAGTTTGATATGATTTTCGTCACCTTGGTAGTGAATGAAAACTGATTTTCGCTTTTTTGATTTATGTAAAGGTCTACGATATCACGTAAAACGTACTAAAACGACTCTACACTTACCTTGATATCACGTAAAAACCGTCAAAATATGTCCACCTTCAGACAGCATACAACAAAAACGACATCTGTGTGAAATACTCATTCATTTCAATAATATATGTTTTTGTTTATTATTATTATCAACTGGGACAATACAATTACTACTCAACAATTAGTACTAAAAATAACACCTRCAAGAAATTCCCTTTGTGTTAACCGTCAGTTCTTGATTAGATGACTTCAAAAGTATCAGTGATTCAAGGTTTTTTGACATTCACAGACAGTCTGACAAGTAAGTTTACTCATCAATACGCAGTTCTAATTCTTTTCCAGACCCACTGCTGGCATGAAACCATTTTGAATAATTTCTCATAGAATTTACAATGAAAATGAATCACAAATAAAACTATTAATCTGCAGACAATGCACAAAATACATGAATAGGAAAGCTGTTTGTAAAGTCAAACAYTTTCATTATTAAAACTTTTCTAGGCAGATGTTTGTCACATACATATCAGAACCAATCACAAGCATTKTCTATGAATCCAATAATTGRCAGAGCACAGTTTGAATACACGACTAGAAATCATATTTATGTTGAAAATTGTTGCCACTTACACTGATGTAAAAATACCTTGTGAATTGTTGTTCTGCTTAGTTTTTCAGCTTTTTTATGCTTAACTTTTAAATTAATTAATATCCATTGCAATCGTTATCTTTGTTCTGATTGGCTGATAGMAAAGAGCTTTTTTCAAGACTTAGAATATCTAAATAATTAAAATTATTATTAGCTAGTTACTAATCAGTTGGTAACACATGCATGGATTTTTTAATCTTTTGAGCTTTAACCTATGTAAACACAGCGTAAATGGTTAGAGATATTCCAGTTTCATTTTCATATTATTTGCTAAGACTTTTGATGCAGTGGAAAAGATGCAAAACAAATTATTGAATTCATTTTCATAAGATAAAAATAATCCTGGTCTAGATCCAAGTGTTATCAGACTCAGGCCCCCAACTTTGATTGATAATCACGCCTGCTCAAGACTTGATTAATTCGAATATCACAAAAACCTCAAACTAACTTACATCAGAAATCTCTTTTTTAATACAACAAACACCAGATTTCATTATGCATGAGTAGAATGACACAGGAAAACATCAATTTTCCTCAAAACCTTTACACTCATGTTAAACAGCAACAATGAAATAGAAATGTTAATATACCTTAAATCAMGTATCTTATCAAGGTTACAGCAAACCTTACAGAACCATTGAGTACAGAGTCTTAATCTCTTTAGTATAAGTCAAATCGCTAACACATGGTGTTTCTAATATCATTGGTATTCCATTGAACCTGCTGTCTTCCATCAAAAACCGAAATCCCTCATTACCAATTTTACCTTTACCAATGTTTTCATGGCGATCAAGATGGCAGCCAAGCTCTCCCTTTGAATCATTGAGATGCACGCCTTTGAGATATTTGAAACCAACTATATTCTCAAATTCTTCCATTGTCTTCTCATATCCCTGTTTATTTGAGATATCATAACCAGCTGCAAAGGTGTGACATGTRTCGAGGCATACACCAATTCTTGACTTGTCTTGTACTCGGTTGATGATCCCACAAAGCTCTTCAAACTTACCACCAATCTGTCATTAAAAAATAGGATTTATATGTGAATAAACTGACAAATTAAACTATATTAGAATAGTTACAGCAACAAAATCATGCATAAAGTGTCCCCTTGTATATGTAGCCTTTGTCACAATGAAATACACCTACCGTGTTGCCTTGGCAGCTCATATTCTCAATCACCGTGACAACATTCTTTGTTTTGCTGTGTGCTATGTTGATACTTTCTGCAATTCTATCCAGACATTCATCCACTGAGATCTTTCCACACGTTGAACCWGGATGAAAGTTATACAGAGAGAGACCTAACATTTCACAGCGCTGTAGCTCTTCTACAAGAACTTCACGGCTTTTCGCGAGTGTTTCTTCATCTGGCGAGCCGCAGTTCATTAAGTAGATGCCGTGAGGAAGTATATGAGYTGGTGAAAACCCGTATGATAGACAAGCTTCACGAAACGATTGAGCTGCCTTCTCTTCCAAGGGTTTAYTCTTCCATTGTCTTTGCGATCTTAGAAACATGGCGAATGCTTTAGCTCCTATTTCTACTGCATCATAAACCGCATTACATAARCTCCCRCTAATRGACACATGRGCTCCGATGAACTTGTTGCTTTGTGATGAAGTATTGGATCCAACCAACGGCACGTGTACATCAACTTTCGCGCCAAGATCTGTCTCTTGCTTCACTTTCTTACCTGCTTTGCGGGTTTTTGTTGATGGAGACGAGCGTCCTTTTGTCTTCCTATCTACAGAAGAACTTACTTGCTTTTCTTTAGAATTCGTAGCTGATTTGTCCTCCAATTTGACTTTCTTTCTTGSAGGATTTTTGGTAGTTGATTGCTCCTTTGATGGCTGYTCTTCAAGCTCAGAGATACTCGATGTTGACTCCCTTGATCGCTTAGCCTGCTTTGGTATAGTTTTAACAGCATCTTGTAAAAGCTTAGATGCTATTCGAGTGCTTTTACGCATTTCTCTTACTAAGATTTMTCGATATTTTCCCTGTTTATAGACCCGGTTATAGATCAATGGAGTCTTAAACCAAGTCGAGACTGAAAAAGACTGGGGATGACAAATCCACAGGGAGCCCATCGATTTGGGCATCAAGAAATTAAAGAACTCCATTTCATAAAAGTTCTAATGTTCCATCGCAAAGTATCTAGACTGATTGATTTCAAGACAATAGTTTTTGTAATATTTTCAGACAATTATACCACATAGTCAAACAGTACATTCAACGGTATTTTATTTGTGAATTCAGTTACAAATTTCCTTACAGTCTTCAATTAAAACTAAAATTGATGCCATATTATGCTTCGRCAGTCTTGTGCACTTTTGCTCGGAATGTGATCCCGAGATAATTGCGACAAAAACTATTAGTGAGAAAGTACAATGATAGTTCGCGTAAAGTGCGGCGTATGTTCAGTTGATTCGACGGATCAGTTATAGTTCAATGTTTTTCAATGTCTCTTCAGTTTTTGTTATCTTTACTTTTAATTTACTGTTATTTTCTTTATCTTTTATTATCAAGAACGCATTCTACCTATAGCGCCGTGAGGTATATCTGGAACTCTAGTTTCTTTTCTCTCTTCAAAGCATTCCACTTTGTCCAGAATCGACCCTATCTCTCCCATATCCACGTCGTTCTCTTCGACCCTCTGGTGGTGGATGTAGAATCTTCTTAGTTAGATGATCTTCTCGTAGAAGTCGTAAGTTCAAGGAAGAAGGTTTGTCTGGAATTATTCTAGCAATAGTAGTAGTAATGGCATAGACAGTGTATTGGAAGACAAAGACGAAAGCCAGGCGAGCAGCAACGACGTGCCAGTATGCTTTAGATGGTTCATAGGGTGATGTGCTTTCATAGTAACCTTTGTATCTGAAATACAAYAACATTATACATATGAGAAATAGATAATAACATGGACCAGACATTCAATCAAAAGAATTGATGATTGTCAGTGCAAAACAATTAAAATTGTCGCGTATCCAGACTGATTATGATCCGCCTGCACCGCAGTATTTAGCCTGATTTTCAGACGGGGCCTGGGTCCTACGCTTCACTCCACACGGGTGGAGTGAAGCGTAGGACCCAGGCCCCGTCTGAAAATCAGGCTACGCAGTATTTTGCCGCTGTTGCTTTCCGATTGTCAGGTGTGTTATTCATAACTCCCCTCCCCCCCCAAAAAAGTTAATGAAATGAAGTTAAATTAGTGGCTGCCGACATACCTGCACGTGGTCATTCCTGTTACGTTGACGTTCTGGTTAGGATGTTCAGGTTGACCCTTCAAAGCCGACAATGGTATTGTCGATAAGCTGTTTTCCACGTAGCCCACAAGAGTACCATTTCCGTTGGCGTTCCTATAAACAAGCTTTGGAATGAACTCTGATGTGAAGGCCAGGATAAAACCATTGACRAGCACTGAAATATTGGTCAGAGCKGCTAAGATCTTTGTCCATGCACCAATATCTTCGGCAATGGCGGTGTCAGGTCTTCTGAACTGACTCACAAAGTTAATGGCGTCTACYCGTATTTCAGCGATGGAATTGAGGAGAGAAAAWAGTGGAGCCAGAGGAAAGGCAGCCACAAACATAGTTACAAAACCATACTGGAGAACTGAGAATAGAAAACAGAATGAAATTGTTAGCTACAGTATCCATATATGTTTCAGGTCTCACGAGGGAGTGACTAACCCCCTGAGTGCCACCTACATCCCTGAAGAAAAGAAAGAACAAAGATTACCAATTTCTAGGTACTCCCAAAACATGTAGTGATCTTCCAAGGGACTCAGGTTAAAGTCCTGCTCATACTGCGGTAGCGCTTTGTTCTTTGGTTCTTTTCTTTCTTTCCACCACGTCTTAAGGGCCCTGAAWATAGTAAGCGAAAATTGCTGTCAATGATGGGAYATTGGTAGGGACTGTTAAGAAGCATGAAACTGATCAAATGATCAGTTCAGCCATGTCAGAATCATATCGTTTATTGTCCTTTTCATAATATTATTGTAAMCATCACTAATACTCATGTTCTAGTAAAACACTTACGGTATAGCAACTTCAGTGATGTTTCCAATGATCTGCTGCCCAACCATGATGATGATCAACTGAATACAGAGCTCCAAGAAACAGCCTTGTTCACTACATCCGTCAAATCGAATACCGCTACCGATACGATTGAACCTGCCAGGTTTTCCAACTACGTAATCAGACTTGAAGAACGCGATGTAGAAGATTGATGCATARGTGTTGACAAACTGGAAGAGGTACATCTTGTAGGTAAAGCTGTCCTCATAGTCTGTTTTAGTGCGAGGGTTTTCCCAGTTTGTTAGCCATACAGCAAGTCTGTTATAGAGGAACTTGAGAATGTTGATGCAAATTAAGTTGATTATAGCCGCTGTAACCGTTGTGATGATGCGAGAGTTCCTTCTGATTGTCAGTTCACTGTTGGCGCTGAGAGCGGCAAACACTGCACCTCGGTAAACTACTACACCAACAACTGCTGCRATTACCAGGAAGATCATGAAGGCAATWATACTACCAATGGCGCCATATCTCTGATATAAGGTTCGTTTAGGGATATGAGGCTCCATCATTCCAGTAACGGGATTTCTCTTTAAGGTTGGAGCAGTAACAGCAAATTCAGGTCGAATTTGTTCCTCTTCTTCAAAGTTTGACACACTCCAGTGGCTGGCAAGAACAGCTTGGCGACGCTTCCAGAGCTCAAGGAACAACGTGGCCCAAACTTAACAGAAAGAAGAAACAAAACAAGATTTAGTTGAAAGGAAAGAACTTACAGAGAGGAATATCAACTACTAATAAAAATCACGAATCTACATTATGTGGATTTGAAAGAGAAAAACTCACCAGAAGTGAAGATAGCCAAAAATACAGTTCCATTATTGTCAAAGAAGTGCGTTACACGAGCGTAAATGCACGTGGTTTTCAACGACCAATAGGAACACTGCTTGTCACACAGGTTGCACATTATTATGTTTTTGTCACAAATGTCATTGACAGGGATATCAGTTGGAGTTGATGCAATACCATAAATAAAAATAATCAGACCAACAAAGGCTAGTGGTACCAGCATTGCAGTGTAGAACCCAAGCCATGCAAAGTACAGTGCAATCGCTGTACCAAAGTAACTCTTAATGGTGTCGTATGGCTGATACTTGAACATTCGACCAAATCGACTCCAGTCTCTTTTCAATCGCTGGCGGTCGTTGTCGGGGACTCTACCTTCCTGGACATCGTCGTCTCCATCATGGAGAGGGTAACCAGCAATATAGGCACCTTAAATAGAACACACTCATTCATGTACTGTTTCACAACTGAGCATGCTCAGTGGGTAATTCTTCATGTGTATCCCACATTGAAAAGCTGATGTACTAGGGTACTCAATGAACAACCTATATAGATGCCATTTGTTGTCCATATAATTTTCAAAAATTCCTGATAAATATTCAGCTCCATACCTTCGTATATAAGTTGCTTTAATCCTACACCTTTGGCTCCTTCATCATCAGAAAAGGCCGCCGAGCAACAGATCCTCTGGACTGCATAATGTCGATCAAGTGTGGTGAACAACTTCTCGTCATTCTCATGCCCCAAAAACTTATCGTGTTTACGCTGTTTGTAAAAAGCCATGAAGTAAGAAGGCTTTTCGATGATGGTGCTATCTTTGACTCGTAGTGGATTCAGCCTACGCACTGTGTTCATGAATTTCTCTCCTATAATTTGGCACAAAACGGTAGAGAGTAGAAACCATAAATCATTGAACGGCTGATTGAATGACAGAGAAACGAAAATAACGGATGAATTGACTAACAGATGGAAGAGTTTGGATTGTGCTCATTGAAATATACAGATTGCTGGACTAACTTACCAAAAACTTTTTCAGTCCATGTCTTGACTTTGATGTCGTTCTTCATCAAGGGAGCTTTGAGCTTGATTTCTTCAGCGTAGCAATGCAAAGTCTTCCAAGGGATGTGTAGTTTTACAAAATATCTGTTTACTTTAGGGTTCTAATGAAACAATGTATTAAAAAAATGTATATTTAGTAAAATATTCCTTTCGCAAATAGCATGCGAATATGAAGTTTGTCAGAACAATATTAAGTGGCAAATGCAGTGCAATAGAATATAAATAATTAGGTTTGCATCGATACTAACAAGATCTTTTTTCTTATTATGGATATCGTCATTTTCAGATTCAGGTTTGGTTGAATGCTTAATAAAAAACGAAGTAAAATTAGAAATCGAGTATGTGCCAACATCGTAGCAAACTCAATGTAATAATTCGTACTAACAACAGAATTGTCTTGTTCACATGACTCAGGACCCTCTTTTATGTCTTCGGTTAGCTGTTCTTTCTTCGGCGAGGACTTAACGTAAAGAAAAAGTCATGTACGTATTGGCCTTGCGATTGTGATCTGCATGTGCAAAGCAAAGTTGACCACAAAGTGGTCGACACTCCATCGACAAATTAAAGGTAACAAATATTGTTAAACTTCCCAATTTCATTATGTCAAGATTTGTCTACTAACAACATCCTTGTTTGTCTCTCCTTGTTCTATTTCATACTGATCTTTGCTTTGTTTATGCTGTAAAAAAGTCGAAAAGAGCGAATACTGAACACCTATTCGATAAGTCACGTAGAGCAAATGACGCAGGCATGCATCGTGTCATAGGACTGAATTATTAATGATAACAATTCACTAACAATCGCATTTCTAAATGATGTAAACGCTTCCTTCACATCTCGTAGTTTGCCATTTTTTCGTTTCTTTTTTCGTTCCTACAAAAATGATAATGAAGTCAAAAAAATTGGTTCGGTTTATGCATTCCACATTTCTGCTGGTTACTGTAAATAGAACTGAAAAAGACTGGCATGAGTGATGGTTGTGGGATGCTAAAAAAGTATTGAATATAACTTAGCTGTGGCCACAATGTTATAACTCAATGCAATCAAAAATCATAAAATGACGGCTATGACGTAATACGCATATTTATACATATTAATAGAATGGTTTTGATGAATTGTCAAACAACGCAGGAATAACGACACAAAGTGCACCCTGAGTGTGCTACAAAGAACTGTCATTCAACCATTCATAGTAATTGATCCAAAAAGTCAACGCCTCCAGAGACTACTAAATATAGCCTTTCAATGCAAGAAATGTAAATTTTCAAAGTTAACGTATTCTTGAATTAAAGTCATAAATTCTTAACATTAAATTTGAAAGTAAAATGTAATCGTGAAGTCGTAACATCTTTTAATCTATAATCAATGTGTGTTTCTCCATACTAGGAAGGCATAGAATATTCATTATTAGGAAAATAATTTTTATCATGGTAAACATGGTAAAGTGTAATTCAAACATCTGTTAACTTTAATAATGGTAAACGTTTATCAAGAGATACTACTTATCCCCTTTCCAAACAGCCACAATAATTTCAGCTTTTGTTCGTTAAGTAATTTTTTCTTTCAAGGGTGTTGTGGAAGCTATTGATATGTTTTTTAGTTCTAGAATATTCCAGTAATTAACAATAATGCACTACTTCTGAAGCGCTTTCCTATGTAAACAGCTTCGAAAATAAACAAATAAGCACTAGTAGAATAGGAAATGTTCGTGATCACATTGGATTAGTAAGGTTAGAATTTATAGCGTGTATTTTCTTTGCCATAGACAATAATGGTTTTGGTTGAGTAGCGACAAACCCAATAAAGTGTGTCCTGTTTACACCAAGATATCTATTAATTCGTTATTTGACTCTGAACAAACTACACAAACATGGCTTACTCGTCTACATAGATATAAGCTTTAAATAATTCATTCGTATTTAGTAGTTTTGTTAGCTAAAAGATTAAAATATTCCGAGAAGAAAAAAACACGTGTAACCTATGTATATTGGCTATATTTTGATATCAGTGACTGAACCAACTCCCTCTTATAATATATTATTCTGGATTATTATTTGCAAAATTCACAATAAAAAAAATTATTTGTTAGTTAGTTGTGATATTTTAGGGGGAATGAATTTAATTCTTTAAATCACTTGAGATCGTGAAAATGTCTTATCAGAAGAACACAGAATCACTTCCAAGTGTTGTAATTTTTCTATTTACCTGCGGTGAGACAACCATTTCTCTCTCCAAAAGTAGACCCTCGTCTTGCAGAACTTTCTCGAAGGCTTTTCTCTTTTCTTCAAGGATGTCTGCAAGAGCAGCTTTTTCTTCGTCTTCGTTCTCTTCTTCAGGATTCCGCTCGTAGACTAAGACATAGTCAATCTTTTCTCCTCCATCGTTGAAGTGCAGACCTATTGGTTTGGCTGAAGAATTGTTGCCATTTTGGTTGTCCATATCTAACAATACGTCGTCTTCATCGGCGGCCGTTCTTGGTTTCACCTCTTTTAGCTCAGCCATTGTGTGTTTATGCATGTCACAGATGAAATCCGATGGAATGCGATTTGGGTGTGAGGAGGTAGGCGTTCTCAGCGGCTTGTAATAACACTGTACTGCAAATTGATTCAGTCTTTACCTAAAACCGTTCAACATAAACCTTTGCGATGAAATTTCATTATCCAAAAAGAAAAAAATACATAAAAATAAGATAATCGTATGAATGAAAAATACTCAAACATCTTACATTGATCTGTATTTTCTCAACATGAAATTGGAGCCGAAGTAATGGTTTTAAGTTGAATTTTGTTTTGAAAATTAAAGAGTGTTGCTTTCATTAACTATTCATGATAAATCAGTCATTGATATACATGCTTTACAGCAGTCTTTTATGGTATGACTACGGCTTTAAATTATGAATAATCAAGTATGCTAACGTTTTGGCGCCAAAATGACGTATTACTATCTTTGCGCATGTAAATTTACTTAAAAATCAAAATCAGACGTAAATACACCATTATAACTAAACAGTATTTTAGTATCTAAAAATCGTTTTCACCAAATTGATTCTTATTTTGACTGTGATAATCTAAATACCGAAAGTCTAACTCATTCAAAATGCTTGCCAATTTGAACGAGAACCAAGTTTYTATTTAACTAAGCAGGTTTCATTACAAATAGAAAAAAAACTYACAACCCATAGAATAGTTAMTATTYAAATTGAGAAGTCCTTAAAAGAAGGCGGATTTCCAACATCATTAAAGCGGTTCAAGTGCAAACTATAAAGCCAGCAGCTAATAATTAATAAACAATCAGCTTCTAAAGTATCTTTAATTTGATAAACTGAATGACATGCCACACCCAATGGTSCAAGAGCCGGCGAATTGGTACAGACATGAATCAGGTATGAGTGGCATGAATTCGTGAAAACGATAGACAACTCASTTTTCTCTAACTTAGAAACTTTTTTTCCTTCTAATACACAAATTTCTTTTGTTGTAAASAGTTTATTCGAAAAATAGCTGCATTTCAAGGTACTTTACAACCCCCAACAATAACCTTGGCCAGTCTTGTTCGTATTTTCGTTAATATCTCGCTGTTTGCAACTAAATCCCCTGTATATCTTCCATATCCCATCCCCCTATTTGAGTCAGCCGACACCTGAATTGCACAGGCTCAAACAACATCGAACCAAGGCTAGGCAGTGTTGCCAGTTGGCATAGAAACTATACATGAATATAGGAAGTTTGTCAGGGATCGTAGTTACAGTRGACTAACTCAATTAAAGTATCAAATTTACATTGAACACCTGACATTAATCGACTTTAACAAAACCTAAATATTACGTCAAAACAATAGTCTTTATCATATCACTACAGTATTTTAGCATGAAATTTGTTGGGCAGGTGTGTCTACTGAGTGCACACAAAAACTTTCCAAAACAATAAAAACATGAAAAATACTTAAAAACGTGTTCATGTCAGGCAAGGAACGATCTTTTCCATCGGATGTCATGGATCGTGAAACTAAGCTGTCTGTTCTTCACAGTAWAGTGTTTGTTTGGAAGTTATCTGTAACTCTGTCTTTGCCATAAAGTTTTTCCTTGGCMAGCATTTTCTCCATCCTCAGTTTGACTTGTGAGGATCTTGACTTGTCTGGTATGATGTACGCAATAAGGTTCGTGATGGTATACACGGTATACTGGAACACAAACACGAAAGCAAGGCGTGCTGCGATCACGTGCCAGTATTGCTTGGAGAATTTGAATGGATAAGTGTTGTCATGGAAACCAGGGTATCTGAAAAACATGCATGTTTTGTATTTTAATTAAAGTTGTATTATTAATCGTGTTAAAAGTAAAATGACATAAACACATGGAGAAAAACTCAAGCGAACTGCCTGAATAAAGATGGAAGCAGGCAGTAAAATACTTGAAACTGATAATCAAGGGAATCCAAAAAATTRAACTATGAGAATGAGAAGACTAAGCAAACAAAAGCAAAGGTWGATATTGAGCAAAATCATGACCTACCTACAAATACTTCTGGTGTAGTTCAGATTTTGTGTTGGATCATCAGGTTTAGTGTCAGGTTCCCAGATATCAAAGTACTTCACCTCAAAGTAAGACAAGCTGGCGTTGAGGTAGCCATTGAGGGTCCCTCCAGTGTCTCTATCAGGTGCATATCTCAGCTTGTACAAAAGCCTTGGTATGAAATCAGAAGTGAAAGACAACACGAAMGCGTTGACTAACACAGATAGTTTGGTCAACCCTTCTAGAATTTGGTACCAGGCCCCTATGTCTTCAGCTATGGCGATGTTGGGCCGACGGAACTGTCGGACGAAGTTGATCGCGTCGACACGGATTTCGACAACAGAATTCATCAGCGCGAAGATTGGGGCGAGTGGAAATGCCGCGACAAACATGGTCACGAATCCATATTGGAGAACTAGAAAAGAACATTGAAGAAAAAAAGGAACTTTTCAATTGTATAGTTCTATATCTCAATAATATGCCAATAATTTTAATTAAAAGTGCTTCATTTTTCACTTACCAACTTCTAGATATTCCCAGAACATATAATGATCACCCAAGTCATTTAAATCAAAGTCTTGCTCGTACTGGGGCTTTAATCTATCACGTGGTTCCTTGCGTATCTTCAGCCATTCCATGACAAACCTAAACGACCATACAAGGTATATATCATTGCGAGTATCAGGATGAATAACAAATGTTTTAATTATTCAGCTATCTATCAGACAAACCAATCGATCAGTTAACCAGCCATTTAACAATAATACTTACGGTATGGCGATCTCTGTGATATTTCCAATAACTTGYTGGCCAACCATGATAATGAATAATTGAATGCATAATTCCAGGAAGCACCCTTGTTCACTGCARCCGTCCAGTCTGTACTTTTCAGCGATACGCTTATACCTTCCTGGTGTYCCAACTACAAGACCTGACTTGAAGAACGCGATGTAAAATATCGACGCGTAGGTATTAACGAACTGAAACAAGTACATCTTGTAGGTAAAACTGTCTTCAAAGTCAGTCCTTGTACGTGGATTCTCCCAGTGCGTTAACCAAAGAGCAATTTTGTTGTAAAGGAATTTAAGAAGGTTGATGCAGATCAARTTGATAATGGCGGCAGTGAATGACGTCACGATACGTGCGCGTCTTCGAATGGTCAGGATCTTACTGCCGCTCAGTGCTGCAAAGACCGCTGCCCGGTATATCACAACACCAATAACAGCCGCRAGAACGAGTAAAATCATCAATGCAACGATACTTCCTGCTGCTCCTAACCTCTGATACCGCGTTCTCTTGGGCATATGAGGCTCCATTTGTCCTGTTACAGGGTTTTTCTTTAAAGTTGGTGCAGTACGAGCAAACTCAGGTCGCAAAGGCTCCTCTTCTTTCTCAAAACCAGCGACGTTCCACTCRATAGCTAAGGCGAGTTGTCGTCGTTTCCAGAACTCAAGGAAAAGCGTTGCCCAAACTGAGCTGAATATTGCTAAGAACACCGTCCATTCGTTATCAAAGAAGTGTGTTGCGTAGGCATAGTAACACGTGGTGGACACTAGATCCCAGTAACTGCACTGTCGATCACACAGCGGRCACATGTAGAAATAGTTTTCTAACTTTTTATCGCAAGAGTCGCGGACAACAGGGTTGGACATGGCACTRGCGACACCATAGATGAACACTACAAGACCTGCGATTGCCAGAGGGACAAGCATAGCGGTGTAGAAACCCAGCCAAGCAAAGTACAGACCAATCTAGTTGGTAAGAAAACGGTTAAGTTTGATGATTACACCTTCACTAACAAATCAAATCAARTCAATCCAAAACCTAGTTGAATACGGAGTTCTATTTCAAATGGGCAAAAATGATACCCTATCACAGACTTGGAGCTCAGAAAAAGGGACCCTATCGAGTGACACATACCYGTATAGCAAATATAGGGGAGTACCCTCCCGGGACAATGAAATGCTTTCCCTAGGAGCCYTATATATTTACACAGTATGTGTTTCAGGGGTTTATGAATGATTTAACTCTGTTGCTGTTTCATTGTCATYATTKCAATAAGCCATTCTAATACTTGCGAGGTAATATAAGMAAATGATGCCATTGACTCACCTCAGTACCAAAGTAGYTCTTGATACAATCATAGGGTTGATACTTGAAACACCGTCCAAACCTGGCCCAGTCCACTCGAAGACGTTGTCGATCATTACTAGGYGGCTCACCCTCTTTGCATTCATCRTCACCGTCATGAACCGAATATGAACTCAAATACACSCCTGTTGATAGTATACTTGATATCAATAATAGTTCTTATATACAT